GTTCACCTCGGTGCCTTCAATGTCTGGTAGTACCTGGTCTTGTGAAGTTTTGCTGTGTGGATATGCACCTTAGTATTCAACAAGATTCCAGAGAATGCTTATGCAGATTTCTGGAGGTCTCTTTCTGCACAATTCCCTCCTCTCCAGAACTTTGTCCAGCAACTTCCAGCCAGCCACCTCTCCCTCCCTGAACTCTGTCCCATCAATTTAGCATACCACTGTGCTCTGCATTGGAGCTCTGTCTCTGCTCTGTGATCTGGAAATTGCCTCCAGGAAGAAATATGGTGCAATTATAGAATTTACCTCTTTTGTTTCCCTCCTCTGTGGGATTACATTCCTGAGCTACCTATTATCCACTGTCTGAAAACATTGTTCATATATTTTGTCTAGTTTTCTAGTTACTTATGTTGTGAGAATAAACCTGGTCCCTGTGACTCCACCATGACCAGACACATAAATATCTGATTAACTGTTACTCAGCCTTCAGGTCTCAGATTATAGATCACTTCCTCTAGAAAGCCTTCCTGAATCCCAGGCTTGGCTAGGTCCTCCTCCTATGTGCTTCCATGTTATCTCATCAGTGTGCTGATCATCCTCCATTGTATTGCTGTTTCACTTGTCTGTATCCCTCAGGAAACTATTAATAGAAGCTTTTCAAGGGCAGGATCATGCCTGTCTGTTTCACCAGATGGCCCCAGCACTCGTCACAACACTTGGTACATAGCATACACTCAATAAATAGGCATCAAATACTGAGTGAATACTGAGTAGGATGAGCTAGAGATCAAGGAAGCAAAGGGGAAAGTCTAGCTCTTAAGGTAAAAGGGCTAACTTAGGCACTATTTATTTTTAAAAAGGTATGGAAAGACCAAAAGTGTTAACAGTAGTTACCTGTTGGCAGTGGGAGCAGTGAGGGGGTAGATGAGATTTCTTTTTCTTTTTGCTTTATTTTCTTTCTCTCTTCTTTCCTTTTCTTTTTTTTTCGAAATTGACTTTATTTTATTTATTTATTTATTTATTTTTTTTGAGACAAGAGTCTCACTCTTTTTGCCCAGGCTAGAGTGCAGTGGCGTCAGCCTAGCTCACGGCAACCTCAAACTCCTGGGCTCAAGTGATCCTTCTGCCTCAGCCTCCCGAGTAGCTGGGACTACAGGCATGCGCCACCAT